TTGTGACTTCTCAAAATATCTTTTGTTCTGTACATACATTTCAGAAGTAATTTGTAATTTCGTGAACTGACAAAATACTAATTATTTAGTTTGCTTGAAAAGTAAAAATAAAATAAGAATCACTGAAAATTTAAAACTGCAGGAAAAAAAACATCAGAAATTTATAATAATTTTAATGGATTTTTTCCAAGATGCACATCAATGCACATGTTTCGTCACGTTTCATATAAAATTGTAATTTATTAATAAGTTTTATATAGCTGATCTAAATTTTTGTTATTTAATTTGCTACATCCGACAATATTTTATTATTATTATTAATCAATTCTTCTCGGTCAATGCATTTGGACTTCCATACCATGAAAAAAGATTCTCAAGTGCTTAAAATTTCTATAATAATTTAATTTTTATTTTTAATAAAAATCTAACATTTCAAAGATGATTGTAATTTTTATTATTTTAGATGATACTAAAGCTTCTCCAAAAAACTCTTATTCAAAAAAATTAAGTGAACTTTCCTATGGCGGACTATGCAAGGATTGCTATGTATGATAAAAATTTCACATATTCATTAAGAATACCAGTGAAAATTCCACAGCAGTGCATAGTGGAGGCTTTGAAATCTAGTCTTGGCAGAGAAAACACGCTCGGAGCAGCTTTTTCCGCGGGTCCGTGTGCACTTGGCCGAGAGTAACGCGAATTGGCAAGGTCGTGTTTTACCTGCAGAAAAACAACGGCCGCGGCCGAACAATGCGCGAGGCGAGGCGGACAAACGAAATCAACGCACGCCACCGTGATCACGAAATAATCTGCACCGGGCGTAATTACGCCGGGCCCGCGTACGTAATAAAATGACAGTGGAATTCGGCTGCGCCGCCGGAGAAAGAGCATTGAAATTTATTGTGCTCGCGCGCGAGATAAATAAAAGCAGCCGCAGGCCGCGCTTTGTCTCCTAATCTAATTGAGCTGCACTCAAAACCAACCCCCGCGGCCACCTTTCTTTCCCTCTGTGTTCCCGACGGGACCATTTTATTATAATTATTGTTTGAGCTGCAGTTTGCGCCAACACATTCGCACACACTCACGCATGCTAACGAGAGAGACTTTTGCTCGCTTTTTGCACGCGGACAATCACTTTAGCCTCTTTTGATCTTTTCTGCGCTGCACCACGCCTGGCTTATTCACATAATTTACGAATTCAGCTGACCATAAATGACTCCATGGCTATTTAATGAAAATAATTATGCTCTACTGCAATAACAAAAACAAAAGGGGAAAGTCTAATTTTTGTTCTGCTGCAACGTGAAGTGGGTAATCCAAATTTACAAAATTGTAAATTATGACAGTTTAAATTTTTCGCCAAAATTATGCATGTTTTTACATTATTATAGAGTAAAAAATAATGGTGATAATTGTATCAAATAGAGAAACCTTATTTAATTCATGAAAAGCGTGCCAAATTTTCGTCTGAAAATGTTAAGAATGAAATTTATTCATTATAATCGTTAATATGCGACTTGTGTAGATGAAATTGAATTTGGAGCTGTTCTTTGTTCATTTATTTTATTCATTATTTAAATAACAAATTTATTAATATCAGCAAATATTTGGTTTAATGCGTATAAGAGGAGATTCAATAAAATAAGAAGAGAAAATATTTTTTTCGAACAATTAATAACTGACACAACTGAGTGAACAGGGAAGTATAAAAATATATAATTTTAAAATATTTATAATCAAGAAAATATAATAATCCCTTATTTTAAATAGTTTTTTATATTTAGATTTAAAACAAAAATAAATTGAAATGAACAATTATAAATTATTTTAATTTAATAAAATTATTATAAAAACTAAATACGGAAAAAATTAAAAAAAGTTTTTTTTTTAATTTACTTTTAAATTTTTAATTAAATTACACATTAATAAAAAAAAAATATTTTAAATTGTGTTTTTATGATTTATTCTTATCTCATTGATGGCTCTTATATTCTTAATTATCTGTTTCTGTGGCACTTTTTGAAATTCGTATGTTCAAAAGAGCTTTATTTTGAATGGAATAATTTACTTGTACTTTTGCGATAAAGCAATCACATACTCATTACTCTCAACACAATTCGTTTTTCTTTTTTTATATTAAGTACTTTCTAATAATATGCAGTTATTCTCACTCCCGGAGAGTAAATCTACGACTTTGTTAGTTAACCTTTTACCTCTTACAGAGTGAGGAGAATATTTAACATAATACAACAGTTATTATTATCATTTTCTTGAAACTATACGAATTTTCCTCCTGAGTTATTCCCGCCAGCTGTTCTCAAGCCTCTGTGCATTCTTTTAATCTTCCCTTCGTCTCATAATAAATATAATTATCTCTCCCTCTTCAATTTTTCTCCCAAGCTGCAAAAAAAAAAAACAAAACAACAACTCTTCCTCTCTCACGAGGCTGCTTTTCCAGAGGATTTATTTCATCACGTCAAGAGTAATTAACCAAAAATATGCGACGCGTAGTAAAAATTTGTCTTTTAATAAATTAGAATTGTTTTCAAACATTTGAAAATGTTATTTTACCATAATTACATTTAAATATTAAATGAAAACGTTAAATTTGGTACGAGACAGGTGGCGTGCCAGCAGGCGCAGAAATTATTTATTTATTCGCCATTAACGGCACGAAAGAGCAAATTTCGCCGGTTGGCGCTCTCGCGGCTCCTTCTGATTATTTGACGCTCGTCCGGCGGTGAAAAATACAGGCTTTCAGTCAAAGGTCACGTGAAGACGCCTTGTTCGGTGCCCCCTAATGAGCATGCAACACTCCACGACACGAGCCAGCGCGCGAGGAAGAATCAAAAAGGTGCCATACAAGTCGTCTCGAATTATATTAACGAGGTCCACACTGAAAATTACGGCGGACATTTCTTACCTCGTCGGACTAGTTAAGCGCTCTCGTTTTTAAATTATACTAAACAATTTTTTATATTTTACAAACGTTCCAATATTTAATTTGTTGTGAATCATTTTTCAATATCATTTTAATTGAAATATTAAATAAATTAAGAATTTATTTAACACAATAAGATAAAAATTATTATTTTTTTACTATTTTTAATGTTTTTTTTATAAACATTGTGTTAGTTAAATTTATTTCTCATTCACCTTTTTTTAGTAATTAATTTTAAAACATTTAAAGTTTTATATATCGATTATCAGAGCAATTCACGTTGGAATTTTTCAAAAAGTACTTTGCATCGGTTTCTACAAGCAGCTTTTGTTTGAACATACAATGAAGAGTAATTGTAACATTGAAATAATAGTAATAAATTTTTAGTACCAATATCAACATTCAAAATCAATAAAAACGAAATTTATTTTCATTGGCAGTTTATAAGATAAGCAAAATAAAAAATGCGGTAGAGTTATTAATATTAAGCTCTTTGCAATTTTATTTTTTGTATTATAGTCATAAAAGTTTAAGTGATTTAAGAGCAGGCCAAATTAATTTCAGGTTGCGTAAGGTTAGTTGTTGTTTTTATTGAAAACACAAAGCAGACGAGCAGCGGCAGCAGCGCCTATTCAAAAAATTGATGTTTTTATGCTTTAGCCACTGTGTTGCTTTTAGACCGTATCTGTTTCTATTATCTGATGTGCGGCCGGTCAACAAAGGAGCGGGTGTTGAGGGTTACAGACTAAAGATCAAATTACATAAAAACTTGTACATCATGTGTAATTAAACATTCCATTGATGCAAAGTACAAGGCAAAAATTCATATTCGTATTTCGTTGAGTTATTTGAAACTATTTTTTAATAATCTCTTTTTTGCAAAAAATTTCCCATCATTAATATCTGAACCAGACAGTTGGAATTTCCAATTTGGCTCAATTATTTTCCAATTTATCAATATCATTATTTCGGTTTGTAAATCACAATATTTGTGGTGTGTTGGGACTTTTCCATATATTATTGTGTTTATAGAGACGCAGTTTAATAATGCCGCGGCAGAATATTTTATATGCACGGTTGATCACACGTCAATATCTTTTTTGTTTCAGGTCCTCACTCACGCACGCTAGGGAGACATCAAGGACATCACTTTTAATATAAACTCATCCGGCAAGGCGCGCGGCATTCTGAGATGATTTGCAAATTTGCGAATTGACGCTTTTGTTCGCGCGACGCTAAATTTGCTTCAAGAGTTTTTAAACATCCTTGTTTTATTGTAGCGCCAATTATCTTGGTTTAGGCGAATTAAAATTATAAACTCTTATAATTTTTTTTTGTCACCGAAACACTTAAAGCTGTTACAAAGAAATAAATTACATTCAATTTAATTTATTTAAGCGGTTTAAAAGTTAAATTACTTATTTATATCTTGAATCTCACTTAGGGGATTTCTGTCAATTTTCATGAATTAATTTGATAAAATCAAAACTAAAATTAAAACAAACATATAAGGTGATTTACTGTTGCAATAACTTCTCTCCTGATAACATAATTTGACACTATTAGCACTACTCTGTTCTACATTCCTTCACAATCATGAGTCTGCTCACGTAAAAAGATTAGAATGATAGTTAAGAGCAGGTTTTCTATTATGTATCGCGAAAGATTGAAACTAGAATATTTTTAAGAATCAAACAAGTTTCTAAATTACATTTTATTTGTATATTTAGAATAGAAAACTTCTAATCAAAAATTATGATTTATGATTCATGGTCTAAATAGTTTTTAATTAGAGCCCTAAAATAGTTATTTTATAATATTTTCTCTGATTTGCTCTTTCTAAGACGCCAGAAAGATCCAATGCGCACTTTCGGATTTGATTGTGAGATGTAACAAAAATAAAAATTTTCCTTTAAAAGTACAAAATTAAAAATTTTATTAATCATTAGGTACAACAAATTGATTAAAATTCATATGTTACGTCGCTCTATTACAAAATCTGTTAGGGTCCTTGAATTATCTTATCATTTTACTTGATTAGCTTTTTGAGAACCAAAATCCAAAAGTCATTCATTCGTTTGCCAAGCTCGCCTTGCACTAAACGCCAGCATGACTCTTCTTCGACTTTTGGCTTTCGCCTTCCTGGTCCTCAGCACTGCTCAGGTTTTTTTTTTTAATTTAATTCCTCCAAAAAAATTTCAAAATTGTTGTCAGGCCAATCCGAGCACCCACGATTTGGCTTTTGACGTTTACCTGGCCCGCGAAGAAGTGGTTTATTTCCGTCAACAGTCTGTCACCTACTCGGGTGCTCTGGTCACCTTCCAGGGTAGATTCGACACCACGGTCCCAGCCTTGGCGGACACAATTATCTCCAAACTCCAAGGACTTAATGTTGGCCACTCTCTCTTTGTTTATAAAAATCAGTTAAATTATTTAATATTTTACAAACGCAGGTTGATATTCAGGAAATTACTGCCATCCAAAACCTCTTCAATAGTGGTTTCCAAACTGTTACTGACGCTGTCAAAAATATCGAATCCACCCTGCAAAATACAACTGTGACCTCAGGGGGCGTCTTAACGTCTTTGGATACGAGTGACTGGGTCGCTCTTAGGGAGCAGAATTCAGCTTTGACTTTGGAGCTGAATTATATTGATAATCAATTCCAGTCTGCAAAGGCCCAGTGGATCGTAGTCGAGGTTGACCAGGAGAGCAACTTGTATTTGGCTCTGCAAGGCCAGGTTAGTTTTTTTACAAGTGGAAATCGAGCATTTTGCATAAAATATGACAAATTTTACTTAATTTAGCAATTAATTTAAATGGTGGAATGTAAAATAAAAAGTAGGATTTCTTGAGGCTGATTTCATGAAAAATTGAAGCCGGGTGAACCTGGTTGCCAAGAAAATTAATTAATTTCTGCCATTTTTGTTTATTAAATTTAAATTCTCGCTATTTTATTTTTTAGTTGTTAGTTTTGACACCGCAAAACCCTAGGTTTTTAAAGTACCAACAGACCGCAGGTCAACTTTTTTGGGGTAATTTTTTCTTTGCAACTAGGTTCGCCTGGTTCCAATAAATTTTCGTTGGACTTCTTGTGCCTTATTAATTAAATGAAATAAATTATTCATATTTTCAACGGGCAAAGAAATTTTCATGAAATCCACCTCATCCTCCGCAATTTTAATAAAATATTATTTTATTATAACATAGGATGCAGGGACAGTTGCCAACGTTATGGTTGATTGGGAAGACATTAAAAGTTTCTTCAAATCTGATGGAATCGTTCTTGAGAATGAAAATCAGATTTTCACCGTTAGAGGGGGAAAGACCCTGGATTCTCTTCGAATTGTTCTGGAGCAAGTCCTTTAAACAGATGTTGAGAGTAAATAAATAATTATGTATGATGGAATTTTTTAAATAATTTCATTTTCTCAATCCAAAATAATATATGGTTTCGGTCCAACCAAAAATATGAACTTATCTATAAAGCAGGGAGTATTAAAGGTGTCGGCCGGTTTGGTGCTGGTGGGCGCGCGATATTAAAAATAAGCACCCGCATGCACATTTTGTGTGTGAATAACTTGGCAGAGATAGGTCCATCATCACGCGGTGACCGGAAACCGGAAGTTCATCTCGAGCCACAAAGGTCGTTACGGCTCCGGAACTTCCGTAGTTATAGATGCAAAGGGGAGAAAAGAGTTTGTTGCAACACTGGACTGGCGGCGACTCTTTTTGTGCGTGAAAGTGCACAAAAAACGGCGCACACTGCCGGTGATTTAATTGTCGAGCGGTCAAAAAGAGCGGCTTATCGCCCGACACCAATAAAAATTCATTGCCTCTTTCCGCCGCAAAGTTAAAAAAAGGACCCTTCAAATGTGCATTATCAGAGCAGAAAAAATGGAATATTTTCTAAAAAAAAAAAAAATGACATTTTTGTATAAATTTCCCGTCCTTATCACGGTCTAAATGTTGCGTGATCCGACAAAGGGTCAAACGTGACGTCAGCCGCAGATATCACGCCGACCGAATCAGACTGTTTTGTTATGTGTGTTGCCTACATTTTCGCTCTCTCAAATGAGTTTCTCTTATTCTCTTGCGAAACTGTGCAGTGTGTTTGACTTCGCGCCCCAAAAGTCATCATTCACTGCACGAACAACCCCGCCTGCGACTGCCGCCAACGCGTGCGGTTTTTCTTGTTCATTAGTGGCTATATTTGTGTCACAGCACTGACGACTTTGGCCCGAGCTTTTGCCACCGAAAATTATTTGACGCCTTCATTACCATTCGACCCTGCACGTATTTTATCTTTAATTTCATCTCATGAAAAAGCAATATTTAAAAATGTCTCTATTACATTAGCTGCGGTGATAAAAAGTATAATTTAATTCTGTCCAAAAAATGATATTTTGTTTAAATTTATTAAATGTAAAGTCTCACAAGAAAATTTGAGTTACACAGTAAAAAAAAAAACTTCTTTTTCAATAATTTTCAAATTCTATAGAAATAAAATTAAATATAGAATATTTATTTTAATTCCTCTTTCCCAACAACTCACTGATTTTTAGTGAATTCGGAGTAAAACTTTTGCTTGTAAATTTTCTCAATGTTTGAATAGATTCAGCAAAAGAAAAGAAATTGAAAGAAAGTACCAAAAATGTCTTCAAATAGTCAAGATCAAATAACTAAACTTGAAAGAAATTTTGGAAAATAATGTTTCCAAAAATCACATATTTCTTGAAAAAAATGTCGTTTTCATTTTCACCCTCATGACTTATTTTGAATTTAAGTGACACAATTACCAAAGGTCAATCAAATTTGCAAATAAAATCATATTGACAGCTTTTTTCACTTGCATATATAGTAACTAATTAATTAAATAGAACTCTGCAGGGCATTTATTAATTTCCAAATGATTGACTTTCAAGCACATTTTAATTGGCACGGAGGGTGCAAAGCTGCCCTCGGTCGGTGCGCGGCTCTCTTTCTCTCCTGTTCGTCGGTCGGGACGAATGTGTTTGTTTGCTCAATCAACAAAGTATAAAATGTTGAGCGGCGGCGTTTCTAAAGTTTCGCATGTCAGATGCTGTCGTGTTTGCTCAATCCGCGCGCACGCCCGCGTGTGTGAAGTGTAATATGTATGTGAATGTATAGTGAACATACAAGTGAGTGTGCAGAGTGAGTTTTACGGGAAGAGAGAGAGAGAGAGAGGAAGCATCTCAAGTGTCTCGGCCAATATTTGATTTCAGCCGCGCTCCACAAATGGGTGATTGGTCAATATTTGACTAATGCTCCACTTAACAAGCACTTCCAAATCAATGCGAACGAACTGCACTGCGGGGGACGAGTTTGAATGAGGGAAATCAAAATTATTACAAATGTTTTTAAAATTAATTTAACAAATTTTATAGTTTTATTTTAAAATTATTACTTCTTACGCTTTACTTATATGTAATTATTTCAATAAATTAAAAATCTTATTTATTTTATTTAGTACAATAAAAGAGTAGTTTTTATATTATTTGTTTTAATTGTTTCAATTTTTTCTATGTGCTTCTAGTTTACAAAGTAGGTAAAATAATTATTTATTTTTTGCCACAAAGATTTATGCCTTACAAGCATGATACGCTACATTTTGTAAAAATCATCTTCGTCTAGTTGTTGGTTTAATGTTAATTAATTCGTTGAAAATAAAATTGGCTACCCTTTTTTTTCACCACCTCTAAATATTTGATAATTAACAAAATTGCTATCAAAATAACAATAAATCAAATTTAAATGTATTTATGCGATATTAAACCAATTCTGTGACTTGTTTGACGACAAAACACGGGTAGTTATTGCGCATTTAATGCAAATTTTGCAGCCGACTGCGCATTTTTAATTAATCCCGATTCCCATGCATGAGATGAAATCGGATGAGTTTTATTCCGTTGGGCGCGAAATGTGTATAATTATTTGCGCAAAACGCTGTCCTGTGCTCTCGCTTTGATGCTCGGGCGCAATTACAGCGCAGAACGTATAAAGCTGTGGCAGTCGCGTAACAAACTCATCATCACAGAGAGTACCCTTGGTACGTAATATACGCGAAAATGTAGCATGTATTTATTTCATGCGAAAATTAAACGAGAGAGAGAGAGAGAAGTGCGCAGACAGACATGCATGCGAATTAAATTAAATAGAAAAAGCAGAGACTCTCTCGTAATATCACGGATGGAGTAATTTTTATTGCATTTGCAGCGAATTTCCCGACTCGGCATACAAAACACATTTACAGAGAGAGATGTGCGCTGGAGCAATTTCTCTCCCTCGTGCACGTTTATGCAAAATTCCCATGCAGATGAATTAATTCTCTAATTAAAAATAAAACCTGGCTATGTCATGTATTTAGTTGAAGAGGAATAATTATTAATTTAAAAGAAAAAAAATCCAGCGCGCAGCACAACCTGAGGGAATATTTTATAATCCATATATGATGGTGCGCATACCTCGTACTTTTGCAATTATTATTTTTTTTTTCATTCAAAAGAAATGGGGTATTTTTTTTTTCATTTATATACGTGTCGGTGCACGGCGGATTCGTTATTATTTGAGATTTTTTCATCACATTTCCGCTGCTGTGAAATTGCATGCACATGGAGAGCGCATTAATTAATATCGACGAGCGTAACACACAAAGTGCGCGCTAATTAGAATTTCGTTACTTAAGAGGGTGCGCGGGGGCTTTCTAATTAATCACCGCCGGCAACGAGAGTTCCGCGATCGGTCTCGCGGCCATCGCGAATATATAATTTTTCGAGAGAGACCCTCGAGTGGTTTTCTCTCCTCTGCAGAATATAATGAATAATGGTATAAGGTTTTTCGAGTGGCTTTCCGCAGATACGCTTTTGCACTTGCAATGTTCATTATTTCGTTATCCGCGTCTAATTGCATGCGAAAGGAGAAAAGGAAGTGAATATGGGGAAATGAGCAGAGTTGGTGCGGCATTGAGGATTTTTTTTTAAATAACAATAAAAAAAAATCCCGTTTATTATGAAAAGTATGAAAAACTGCTTTTTAAAACTTTTTACAAATTAAATTGCAAATTTAATGTAATTAATGTTTTAATTATAAGTTTGTGATAAGTGATGATGAAAAAAAAAACTAAGTCAATTCATGAGGCGGACTGAAGCGTATATAGGGTCTTTTTGATCTTAGAAGTTTTAACAAAATTCTTGCTAGTGGTGGTGCCCTTTTGTTTATAGTAATTCCTTTCTTTGCAAGTAATTTTTCAACAATTGCATGTAAAAAGTGTGATGCTACAATTTTTCCAATAATTAGGCTTTTTACTAATAGAATTAACAAAAAAATTATGAAAGTAATTGAAATTGTATTATATAGATAATTATATAATAATTTCCCGAGGCTCACTGAGGCGTATGGGGTCTTTTTGGCCTCGGAAGTTTTAGTAAAATTCATGCTAGTGGTGGTGCCGTTTTGTCCAACAATTTTTTTTCCAAATAAATGTTTTCAACAATATGTATGTAAACAATGTGATGTAACAATTTGGACAAATAAACAGCAATAATAATTTACTAACATCAATTATAATTTTAAAAATTAGAACTGATTAGAACTAACACAAGTGTTCCTGGATTTGAAATTATTTTAATATTTGCTTCAAACTTTACATATTTTTAAAACTATAACATTTTTAAGCCATTGCAAATTATTGAATCCATGTAGAATGTCAGAATTAAATTTAGATATTCCTACTCTGTGTGCCATGACTATGCAGGTGTTAATTTATCAATTTATTTCCATGATGTAAAAGATGATAGAATTGAAGAAAATTATCTGGGAGGATTTTAAATTAACAGGAAGAAAAAGTGAATTAGCTAATTTCATACCTATACGTAATTTAAAATCATTTGCACTGAATTAAAAAACCTTTTAAATTCTTAATCAAACTACATTTTCGCGGATATTAATTATACAAACTTTGGAAAAATATAAAGGTGCAAAAAAGCTTTGAGACCTTTGGTTTCTCTGTTTTCCGAGAAGTCATGCCGCGTGTATATATGAAAAGCGGATTATTACACCTTCTGCATACCTCCCACTTTCAACGACGCACATCAGGATAATATTTATTGGGCGCGCGGCGTGTTGCCTGTTCTGTATAAGTTGCTCTCGCGCGCCGAGAGAGATGCAAGATAAAACAATGGCTCCGACAAAGCCGACGTTAATTGAATAAGCCGCGTATATACGCTTTTTATCTCTCGCTGGAAGTGAATAAATCCAATTCAGGTGTTGCCTAAATAATTTAATAGGCTACAAGCTGCCCATAGATAAAAATACTGCAGATGGAGATGTTGGAATGCTAATGAGACGCCGCGCCGTCTCTCTCAATCTCGAGTCGTATTTTTCATCTCTT